CAGCAGTTTGGCGAGGCCTGCTGAGACTACAGGAGACCATCCCCCCCTGCTGAGGCAAAGGAAGACTGGGCTGATGACCTGAACGACTTCTAGGTTTGAGAGAAACAAACTCACACCACACTCCAGCCCAGCAACAAGAGCCTCCATCACACCTCTGGCAGTCCCCCCTCCCCCCTCGGATACACAGGCTACACTCAAGATATGCAAAAAGGATGTGATTCTGGTCTTCTGGAAACAGAAAACCAGGAAAACATCGGCCCCAGACAGTGTCTCCCCCTCCTGTCTCAAAGTCTGTGCTGATCAACTGGCTACAGTCTGTACGCAATTGTTCAACAGATCCCTAGAGCTGTGTGAGGTCCGCTCCTGCTTCAAAAGCTCCACCATCATCCCAGTCCCCAAGAAACCCTCCATCACAGGACTGAATGACTACAGGCCTGTCGCCCTGATGTCTGTAGTCATGAAGTCGTTTGAACAACTGGTGCTAGCCCACCTGAAGAACACCACTGTCCACCTGCTCGATCCCCTGCAGTTCGCCTACCGGACAAACAGGTCAGTGGATGACTCAATCAACATGGGCCTGCACTTGATCCTGAAACACCTGGACTACCCAGGGGCTTATTCACGGATCCTGTTTGTGGACTTCAGCTCGGCTTTTAATACAATCATTTCCGAAATCCTTTCCTCCCAAGTTTCACAACTCCACGTTTCCCCTGCCATCTGCAAGTGGATCACCAGCTTCCTAACAGACAAGAAGCAGCATGTGAGGCTGGGGGACGTGTCTTCTGGTACACAGAGAGTCAGTATTGGTGCTCCCCAGGGCTGTGTTCTCTCATCACTGCTCTTCTCTCTCTACACAAATGACTGCACCTCCAATGACCCAGCGGTCAAATTCCTGAAGTTTGCAGATGACACTACAGTCACCGGACTTATCCAAGATGATGACGAGTCTGCGTATCTGCGGGAGGTTGACTGGCTGGTGTTCTGGTGCAGTCAGAACAACCTGGAGCTTAACACGCTCAAGACTGTGGAGATGACAGTGGACTTCAGGAGGCACCATCAGGCACTTCTTCCTCTCACTATATCCAACAGCCCTGTGGCAACGGTGGAGACCTTCAAGTTTCTGGGAACAACCATTTTCCAAGACTTGAAGTGGGAGCCCAACATCAACTCCGTGCTCAAAAAGGCCCAGCAAAGGATGTACTTCCTGTGGCAACTAAGGAAGTACGGTCTGCCATGGGAGCTGTTGAGCCACTTCTACACTGCAGTCGTTGAGTCTGTCCTTTGCTCATCATTCACAGTGTGGTTTGGAGCAAACACATTTTGTACTACTCAAGGACTACTGTAGGAAACGGGCAGAGAAAATCATTGCAGATCCATCACACCTGCACCTTATACTTTGTAAAGTAGGTTACCCATGTTTTTTTCAAAATTTATTTCTTGTATATTGTAACTTATTGTTTGTATAGTGTCATTTATTGCCTGTGTACTGGGGAGTCTCAAGCAGCCCCAGCACACTTGGCGAATAAAGCTGATTCTGATTCTGTAATTTGCAAAACTCTACACGCATTTTCACACCTTAGACACAGATAAGGATTGTGAGGTTATTTCCTTGTCAAAAAAAGCCCTGGCTTGCCAATGATCACACTCATGAATGTATTGGATAATCACATTAACCAGGTGTGGAAACACACATGTGCTTAATTGAAAACACAGCACTCAGGTGCACTATAAAAGGCAGCAGGTGAGTTCACCTGTCTTCAACAAAAATGGAAGGAGAAGAAGAAGAGTGAGAATGAGAGGAGGAGCTCAAAGAGGAGAAGAAGGAGGTAGAGACCTATGTAGAGGAAGAGGTAGAGAGGGACCTGAAGAAGAGATAGCACCTGAACAAAGAAGAAGAGGACAAACTTTAACTCAAAAAATCCGTGCAACACTTATTGACCACGTTATCAACCATGGCCTCACAATGAGGGAAGCTGGACTAAGAGTTCAGCCAAATCTTAGCAGAAATACAGTAGCGACAGTAATTCGAACATTTCGTCGAGAAAACAGGTAAACTAACCACACAGTACAATGAAACTGCAGCTTACTGTACTTGTCATCACTTTTAGTATCTTTTCCTGTGACATTTGACAGTAGGCTGCATGTATTTTTTGTCTACATAGGACTGAGGGTCGAGGACACCATGGCAGAAGGTGCCCCATATTTACTTAGCCGCAAGATGCAGCAATTGTAAACATGGTTTTGGCCAACAACTGTATCAGACTAAGAGAAATCCAAGACAATGTCATCAATGATCATAATATTTTCAATAACATCCATCGCGTCTCTCTGGCAACATTAGGTCGAATCCTCAAAAAAAATCAGGTACACATGAAGCAACTGTATCAAGTACCATTTGACAGAAATTCAGAGAGAGTGAAACATTATGGCGTTAAATTAGTGCCAAAACTCGCGCGCATAAAAACCACGCGCGCGTATGCGCTCGCGAGCAGAAAACCATCCTCTCTACGCGCTCGCGTTTGCACAGCACTCGCTTGCTCGCTCGATCGGCGTTACATTAGTGCCAAAAGTCGAACCACGCGCGCGTGTGCGCTTGCGAGCTGAAGATCCATTCTCTTTACGCGCTCGCGTTCGCTGGACCCTATCTACGCGCTCACGTCTGCACAGCACTCGCTCGCTTGATGATATTAATGATATTAGCCACTGTCCCCGCCTCCAAAGTGTCAAAATTCATCCTGTCGAGCGAGCGAGTGCTGTGCAGACGCGAGCGCATAGATAGGGTCCAGCGAACGCGAGCGCGTAGAGAGGATGGGTCTTCAGCTCGCAAGCGCACACGCGCGCGTGGTTCGACTTTTGGCACTAATGTAACGCCGATCGAGCGAGCGAGCGAGTGCTGTGCAAACGCGAGCGCGTATAGAGGATGGGTTTTCTGCTCGTGAGCACATACGCGCGCGTGGTTTTTATGCGCGCGAGTTTTGGCACTAATTTAACGCCATAAAACATCTGCGTAATGAGTATGTGGAGGTATGTATTGTTCACCTTACTATGGTGTGGCATTGTGCACTGCACACATAACTTTTTACATGTAAAATTACTGTGCAATAGACCTAAATTGAACAGCGTCCTATTGTCTTTCACTGTGTTTCAGAGAGTCTTGCAAATGGATGCTGAAGAAATTCAACATGAATATATATACCCTCAATTTGCAGTCCTATACCTTCCACCATACTCCCACTTTCTTAATCCAATAGAGGAGTTTTTTTTCTGCATGTCGGTGGAAGGGATACGACCTTCGACCCTATGACCATATGTCCCTCATTCAGGCCATGGAGCAGGCCTGTGATATTATCGAAGCAGCTGCTGTGCAACGATTCTTCCAACGGTGCCTTGCAAATGAAAACAAAGCCTGTGATGTGGATGAAATCTTATGGCCTGATCCAGCCAGACAGAGAGATAATGATTAGTTAAATTAAGAAATCACCTTCGCCTCCCTTTGACTTTGCGTTGGGGAACGGGCTCTCAGTGTTGTCTGTGCTTATGCACCGAACACTAGTTCAAAGTATTTGGTCTTCTTGGTGACCTTGTTTGGGGTGCTGGAAGGTACCCCCTCCAGGGACTCCATTGTTGTATTTTAATGCTCACGTGGGTAATAACAGTGAAACCAGGAACAGTGTATTTGGGAGGAACAGCCTGCTCAGTGTGAACCAAAGCGGTGTGCTCTTATTGGACTTATACACTAACCACAGTTTGTCCATAATGAACACCATGCTTGAACATAAGGGTGTTCATAAGTTCACCTGGCACCAGAGCACCTTGGCCGCAGTTCAATGATTGATTTTTTAATTATATTTTGTAATCGTAAGATTTGCGGCCACATGTTTGAGACACTCAGGTGAAGAGAGGAGCTGTCCTGTTAACTGACCACCACCTAGTGGTGAGTTTGATTAGATGCCGGGGGATAATGCTGGCTAGACCTGGTAGACCCAAACACATAGTGAGGGTGAGCTGGGAGCATCTGGCAGGGGCCCCTGTCCAGGGGATCTTCAACTTGCAACACCTGCAGAACTGGAGGTGCTGCTCCTCATACGGCCACTTCACACTCAGCCACAAACCGCCCCAGTGCATGCTGCAGGTCACAAGTACCCATTTATATGGAGACATGATGGCCCTCAACAACAGACCTCATACCTTGTACTCCTGAAGTACCCCCCACAGGACCCCCCTGAGGGTCATGGCTGTATGACTTTTCCAAGTCCACAAAACACATATAGACTGGTTGGGCAAACTCCCATGACCCCTCCAGTACTTAAAAACATTATTTTATTTAGATTTTTATATGTTTAAATATGTATATTCTCTTCATTTTTCTTTTGCACTATGACCAACATTTTCAGTGACATAAAAGTAATAGGACTCCAGACTATGACCAAAATGGTTGCATTTATTGAGACTGTGTGCAGTTAAAATTTCATGCGGTCACATCTATGACAATGTATGATAATCATTAGGATGTTTTGTTCTGGCACAAGTACTGCTTTAACAAATTATGAAAAAAAAAAATCTTCCCTGGCTCAATTTGTCTTTTTCTTTTTGATTTCTCCCTACCTGGACATGGGAGTACATAGGTAAACATGCACTGATGATAAAACGTGTTTAGCTATTGTGTTAACATGTTCAAGAAGGAAGTGGTCTAGAGCTGATTATTTTAAAAAAATGAGAAGAAAGATGAGCAGGCTGGTGGAGAGGGAGAACCAAAGAATGTTCCCTAGATAGATACCAGTGATGATGAGAGTTAGGTTATGAAAGTTAATGATCAATTTAAAATATTTTGGAAATACAGTAACTGTATCAAGTCAATCTTTCATCAACAGAAAAACTAGGGTATGCAGATTAGAACAGCTATTCATCAGCATGCAAGTTAATCAATTAATACCCCACCACACCAAAAAAGGGTGTGACAAAATCCTGTGCTGATGCAACCAAATGAGAAAGATGTGCCACGCCCCCTCGTTAACCTCGTGTAGAATCCCCGTGTAGAATCCCTGTGTTTACCAGCTGTTTCTCTTTGTTGTTGATTAGTCCAATGTTTTTAAGTCTGCGTTAGGTATGTTTTCCCCAGTCCGGTCATTAACGTTTTTGGATCGTTGATGTCTGTTCCTGCTCCTGATTGTCTTCTACCTCTATTACATCCTGAGTTTTACCCTAACTTCTGGACAGTGTGTCCCTTCCTGTCATGTTCTCAGCGCATCATAACACTTTGTTGTTTACTTTATTCTATGTAAGAGTCTTTGCAATTCTGAAAAGAGGTATATACGTAAAATGTATCTAATACAAACTATAAGGTCAAATACTCCATAAACTATTTTAGTGGTAGGATATGTGGACCTTTGACTAGATCTACAATTCTTACCTCCCCGATCAACTATCTTTCTCACAAATGCCCGTGCAGCCTCCAGGTTTCCAGGTGTGGCTGGGACCAGGTTGGGTTTCCATTTATAGATGGCATCATCAAAGCTGATAAGGCCAAAGTGGTCTTCCTCTGAGATATCTCCTAGGATCTTCAGCAGAGCCTCACGAGTCTGAAGGAGCAGATTATATGACAAATCAAGAGAATTCTAGTCCAAGCAATATACCAAAAAGGAAACCAATTAAAACCTGTACCTGTTTAATTTTGATGCCATGCATAGAGCCACTCTGGTCGATGATAAACACCACATTTTTAGGGATGCGGGGGAGATCCGTTGGGGCAAAGTAATGCACAAAATATCCCTTGAGCACCTAAGATAATATCAACCAGTAGGGGTGGGGTAGGGGAGTACACAAAAGAACACTTTAAGAGAGAAACATATGTATTTTTTGTTTATCATTCTGTATCACTATTTATGTGTTTACTTTAGTTAGATTGTCTCTTCTTCACTCTTACTGTATGTGTAACGCACCCTAAAACTGAATAACCGCCTCTATTTATTCCTGTGCTGCCTAATGACTCATCCCACTATAAAATGCTGTTCTTTCACCGCACATATAAGTCTTCCCTAAAAATCCCATAATATCCACTGGGAGTTTGCCCTATACCAATATCATCGCTGGATACTTAGAGTCTCTTGATTTAAGAGACACAGACAAGTTGCCTGGCTGCATTCAGTGTGCACATTTTCAGACAAAAAACAGTACAGTAATGGTTTCCAAACACTTTTGCAACTAACAGTCTTCCCAGAAAGATCCATGTATTATTTGGAAAATCCATTATATTGCCAAACATTCAGCTTCACCAACATCAACAAATTACATCTTAGATTCCAGCTGAGGGATCAACATTTGAGCTGTGCATTGAATATTCTCATATCACAGAGATCTACGGTCCTCAGTGCTTTCATGAACAGGGTGATAAAAGTTGCTCCCAATAATCAAACATTTCTTGCGTGTACATATCAAAGACTTTTTGGTGTTTCATTTTATTGAGCCTAAATTAACAAGGTATGCTAGCTATGCTTGTAGTTAAACAGTCATGTACCCTCATTAGTCATCTCCATAAGTGGTCTATTAAGCTTATAAATTTATTGTAACCCTTGAGACAAAAGGTCAGCAGTAGTTATTCCCACTCATTGCCCTACTTAGCAACCTTATCCTATATATACAGTCAATCCCCCCTACCTGAAAATCACCCTTTGATTTGGGTCTATTGACATCATAGACAATGAGCAGGTCACCATCAAGTCCATTTGTCTCACAGCCTGGGCATTGTTCTTGCTGCTGCTTTGTGGGAGCAAACTGCACTGTGGCCTGGGAAGGGCAGAAGGCATGTACAGTACAGGTTAGGTATACAGCTAGACATATAACCTGCGGAGCACTGCTTCTTGTCACACCTACAGCATTCACACCTTTATAATAAATCCATATTTTCAGATTTTAATCTTACATCCCTCCACTAACTTCATTAATCGAACTGAGCTACAACAATACACGGTATCAAGCTAGCATAAATTCTAAGTTATCAGCAAAGGTAGCTTACTGAAAAAAGTCTTATCTTAATGGGGCTACACGATATCCACATGCTTGGGAAGTAACGGAATACATGGAACTAAGTTGTGTATTCAGAATACAAAAAAAAAACTGCATTTTGTTACAGTTACAGGAAAAATCAGATAATTGATATATTTAATGGGGATTGTTACCAGGATTACACTTACACTAAATTTTAAAACTAAGAATGATTTTCGGTGGACAGCATACACACAAGACACATCTCTCAAGACAACATTCTCCTCTTACAATATGGCAGCCACTGCAAAAAATGCTGTTTCTCACTGCATGGAAATTTCATAACTATTTGCATTGTTGCAGTATTTATTGTATGTGCATATGCATTCAGGTTGCAATGTTTCTTGTACCAGTTTTAATGGTATAATATAGACATGTAGAACCCTATGATTTTCACAGTGTGGAAAATGTAGACAGAACTGTGGAATCCAGATGTAAAAATGAAAATGACAACAAAAATGTAAAATGTCATGCATTGTAACAGGTATCTGAATAATCTTAGGCCATTATAAATTATTGTAAATGCCAATTATCCACTGTGGTTTTGTTAACTGATTACTGGGTGATATAAAAAAATGAAATGCCCTACTGTTATCCATCCATCCATCCATTTTAGGGTGCTCTTAAGCTATGTACTAAGAGAGATGATAAAATGTTTGATGTGTGCCTCCATTTGAATTCTGCATCAAGAACTGTGCTGATAATGTCATTACCATAAACAGGATCTGGGAGTTTCCAAATCAGAAACCCTGGAAGGCAAAAGAAGTACATTCCTCAAAAAACCGCAACACTACTTTCAGGTCAGGTGACTATACACCGCTGCCAGAGCCAAACTGAGGAGAGGAATCAAAGAAGCAAAAGAAGCCAACAGGAGGAAAATAGAAGACCACGGCAGATCACAAACCACAAAGCACTGTCAGCTCCAACGTCACGCTGGCAGAGGAACTGAATTATTTCTTTCCCAAGTTTAAGGTAAGGAGGCCTAACATGACCACACTGACCCTGCCAGCTCTCAGCACCCACACACTCACTCTGCAGGAGCATGAGGTAAAATGTGTGCTTAAACCGGTGAAGCCAAGGAAGGCCTCTGGCCTGGATGAAGTATCTGGGAAAACACTCAAAACATGTGCTCACCAGCTTGCTGGCATCTTCATGAAGATTTTTAATCTCTCTCTCACATCAGCCACCATTCCACCCCATCAGAAATCATCAACCTTTATCCCTGACCCTAAAAACACAGCCACCAAGAACCTAAATGACTACAGACCTGTATGACTCACAACAGTGGTAATGAAGTGCTTTGAGAGATTGGTCTCACAGCACCTCTCCTGGTGCTGACATGTTATCATGGTGGAGGGGTTTGCATGTTCCAGTGATCCAGGAGCTAAGTTGCCCGGGGTCACCCAAGGTACTGGGTGAGGAACCATACAAAGTGCGGCTCATTAGACCCCTTATGATTAGAAACAACATGGATTCACGTTTTCCCTCACCCGAACACAGGTCACAGGCCTGCACCCATGGGGCCTGGCCGGGCACAGCCCTAAGAAGGCACGTGGGTCCCCCCTCCAATGGGCTCACCACCTGTAGGAGGGGCCATAGGGGTCGGGTGCAGTGTCAGTTGGACAGTAGCCAAAGGCAGGGACCTTGGCGGTCCGATCCTCGGCTGCAGAAGCTAGCTCTAGGGACATGGAATGTCACCTCTCTGGCAGGGAAGGAGCCTGAGCTGGTGCGCAAAGTTGTGAGGTTCCGACTAGATATAGTCGGGCTCAACTCCGAACATGGCTTGGGCTCTGGAACCAGTCTCCTCGGGGAGACTTTAATACTTCCGACAATGGATGTTTTGAAAAGAAGACAGATTACGGATTTAGTCAGCGTTTTTTTCATGATTCTACATAAATATTTCAGCGAGATATAAACAGAAATAGACACAAAAAATACACTGCATCGTTGACGATGCACTCAACCTCAGAGGGATAAAAAGCTCCTCAGTGGCCAGGCCCTGAGGGTGGATGAGATCAACCCGGAGTTCCTCAAGGCTCTGGATGTTGCAGGGCTGTCCTTATTTGACACGCATCTGCAGCATCACATGGATATCAGGGGCAGTGCCTCTGGATTGGCTGACCGGGGTGGTGGTCCCCCTCTTCAAGAAGGGGGACTGGAGGGTGTGTTCCAACTATAGGGGGATCACACTCCTCAGCCTCCCTGGTAAGGTCTATTCAGGGGTCCTGGGGAGGAGCATCCATCGGATTGTTGAACCTCGGATACAAGAGGAGCAGTGTGGTTTTCGCCCTGGCCATGGAACAGTGGGCCAGCTCTATACTCTCGGCAGGGTCCTGGAGGGTGCGTGGGAGTTTGCCCAACCAGTCTACATGTGTTTTGTGGACTTGGAGAAGACATTTGACTGTGTCCCTCAGTGAGTCCTGTGGGGAGTGCTCCGAGAGTATAGGGTGCCGGGCTTCCTTTTAAGGGCTGTTCAGTCCCTGTACAACCGGTGTCAGAGCTTGGATCGTATTGTCGGCAGTAATTCGTTTACTTGTTTCCAGTGAGGGTTGGACTGCCTTTTGTCACCGATTCTGTTCATAACTTTTATGGACAGAATTTCTAGGCGCAGCCAGGGTATTGAGGGTATCCAGTCTGGTGACCTCAGGATTGGGTCTCTGCTTCTTCCAGATGGTGTGCTTCTGTTGGCTTCATCGGACCATGACCTTCAGCTCTCACTGGAGCAGTTCGCAGCTGAGTGTGAAGCGGCTGGGATGAAAGTCAGCCCCTCCAAATCCGAGACCATGGTCCTCAGCCAGAAAAGGGTGAAGTGCTCTCTCCGGGTCGGGGAGGGAGTCGTTCCCCAAGTGGAGAAGTTTAAGTATCTCGGGGTCTTGTTCATGAGTGAGGGAAGGATGGAACGGGAGATCAACAGGTGGATTGGTGCGGCATTAGGAGTGATGCAGGCGCTGCATTGGTCTGTCATGGTGAAGAAGGAGCTGAGCCAAAAGGCAAAGCTCTCGATTTACCAGTCGATCTACGTTCCTACCTGCACCTATGGTCACGAGCTATAAGTAGTGACCGAAAAAACGAGGTCGTGGATACAAGCGGCTAAAATGGGTTTCCTCTGCAGGGTGGCTGGGCTCTCCCTTAGAGATAAGGTGAAAAGCTCGGTCATTCGGGAGGGACTTGAGTAGAGCCGCTGCTTCTCCGCATTGAGAGGAGCCAGATAAGGTGGCTCGGGCATCTGGTCAGGATGCCTCCTGGATGCCTCCTTGGTGAGGTGTTTCAGGCATGTCCCACTGGGAGGAGGCCGCAGGGAAGACGCAGGACATGCTGGAGATACTGTGTCTCTCACCTGGCCTGGGAAATCCTCGGGATTCCCCCAGAGGAGCTGGACGAAGTGGCCGGGGAGAGGGAAGTCTGCGTTTCCCTGCTTAGACTGCTGCCCCCGCGATCCGACCCGGAAAAGCAGTAGAGGATGGATGAATGGATGGTCTCACAGCACATTAAATCCAGTCTCCCATCCAACTTTGACCCACATCAGTTTGCATATAAATCAAACTAGTCCAAAGAAGATGCTATTATCACCACTCTACATACCGCTATAACCACACAGACCAAAGAGGCAACTATGAAAGGATGCTCTTCATAGACTACAGTGCAGCATTTAATACAATAATCCCAGACATACTGGTAATCAAGCTGACAGGTCTAGGGTTCACAAAGACTTTCTCACAAATTGTGCACAAATGGTTAGACTTGGCCCTCATTTCTTGTCTTCCCTCATGCTCAGCACAGGATCTCCACATAGCTGTGGGTTGAGCCCACTACTTTACTCTCTGTACACATATGACTGCACACCAACCCATCACACAAATACCATCATAAAGTTTTAATGACGACACCGCTGTAATAGGGCTCATATCAGAAGGAGATGATTCAGCTTACAGAAATGAGGTCCAGATACTGACAAAGTGGTCTGCAGTGAACAGCCTAACAATTAACACCAGAAAAACCAAGGAACTCATTCTGGACTTCAGAACCAGAACCACTTCCACTCTACATTAATGGAGACCACATGGAAAGGGTCTACACCTTCCTTACACTCCAGCCTGCATGCTAAGATCATCTGATGCTACCCTACTCACTATACCTAAGCGCAGGTTATCAACTATGGGTGGCAGAGCATTTAGTGTAGTAGCCGCTAAAAATTAGAATGATCTTCCTCTCAGTCTTTGTGAAAAAAAATCTATTACCTATTTCAAGATGTTGTCAAAGATCAAATTCCTGGAAACCTACATCTCAGATAACCTCTTTTGGTCTGAGAACACCACAGCAACAGTCAGAAAAGCACGGCAGAGGTTGCATTATCTGAGTGTGCTCAGGAAAAACTTGGAGCAAAAACAACAGGTGGCTTTTTATCAACGAGTACATTCTGGTACAGTGCATCACAGTGTGGTATGCGGGATGCACAGCAGGAGACAGGAAGGCTGGTCAGAGAGTAATAAACACAGCTCAAAAAAATCACAGGCTGCTTTCCAGTGAGGGACTTTCAGCCCTCACTGGAAGATATTGCCCGCTCCCTCTACCTCCCCAGAGCTACAAACATCTAACTAACAGACTGAGGAACAGTCTCTTTCCAATGGCCATCATTACACCGAGCACAAATAAGCCATTTAAGACTGTTTAAATAATTTTTGGTCACTGCTGTGCAATAATATACATTTCATATATACTGCTGCTGCTCTCATGCAGGACCCAGAGTGGAACTGCATTTTTTATTGTTATCATTACTGGTTTTCATTAAAAAAAAATATTTTTAAATTAATTTTCTATTATATATTGCTGCTTTGGGGTGGCACAGTGGCGCTGTGGTTAGCACTGTTGCCTCACACTTCTGTGACCAGTGGCCTGTACCTCGAAGTGGGGTTACTGGCATATTGGGGTAACTTGTTGGATTTAAGGTACCACAGTTTAAATGGACTTTGTATTCGTTCACTTACATTTTTCCCAGACTACCTTAAATCCGAGAAGTTACCCCGATAAGCCAGTAACCCTGCTTCGTAGTACAGGCCACAGGCTTCAATGTGTGTGGAATTTGCATGCATTTGCATGCTCTCCCTATGTTGTCATGGTGATTCCAATGGGTTCTTCTTTTAACCCCCACAGTCCAAAAAACATGCTGAGGTTTAGAAATGGCCTGGGTGACAACTTCCTCTGATTTTCACTTACAATCCATATGAACCTGTCCGTTAGTGTTCCACACTGATTGAATTGTCAACTCCCAAAGTTCCGACACCAATTTGGCCATTTCCTGCTTATGGTCTATATGATGGATTTCAGTAGCAGGGGGAGTGTATTTTTGCTGTACTGTAAAGGCACTGAGGTAGGCTCAGCTATTTGTGAATGTAACTAATTGCCTTTAAATCTATTTTCCTACCTTGGATGCAGTAATTTCATACATTTCAATCAATGAAATCTGACTGAGGTCTTACACCTGGCTACCTCTTCTTTATAGTTCTTAGTCCTAGTACTTATAGTAGGTATTGTATGGGGGGTGTAGTTGCTTACTAGTTTTCTGGAAAAAAATGGTGAAGGCATAAGATATGTTATTGGCCACTGAAAGTGCAGAATATTTAGAAATGTTGCAAGCCTTCCTATGAGCTATTTGAACATTACCTCGTCGTCTGACTGTGAGATCCTAGTGACCTTGGCTAGCTCATTGGAGACAAGTTTTCCACGGGTGTCCAGGAAACGAATCCCTTGCCGCTCACGTATCTGCACTTCAATCTGCCACACAGGGGATATGGGTCAAAACCATAGTTACTGTGTCGCAGACCAAGAGGTTCATGATAACACTATACCATAGAGGTATAGGCAGAATATCATCATTCCTTCTATGTACCTTGAAATCCTTGACCGCCTGTGTGGGCTTAGCTTTGATCAGGAGCTCGTATTGCCCCAGACGACGTTTCAGGAGCTCCTCGTAGGTGAGTTCAAAGGTCACCTTACTGTGTGCTGCTACCGTCACTGAGGTTTTGAACTCCTCAAGTGTACGTCCAACCGCACTAAAATAAACACAGAAAAGAGTGTTAATATTTTACTATGAAATCCTATAACACAGAAATAGCCTCACACACAGAATGGCCTTCTCTCAACAAACTAGCAGTTGGTGCAATTATGTTTGACCAGGATTTCTTTGAAACATAAGGAGAGCTACAGTTTTGCCATTGAGCAATACATCCATCCATCGAATTTCATACCTGCTCATCTTGCACAGATTTGTGCTGGGCCTGAAGTATATTTCACTGGGCAGCTCCATCGCCCCCTCCACCCATCTAATCATTGCTCCTCTCACACCTCCCATCCAATTTACTGAATTATTGGATGGATCAAGTGACAATGTGAAAGTCAATAAATACACTTTTACTCAGATACTCTGAGTCTTAGTCGTAACACATAACTCTGAAATTACACCTGTTTATTTATTACACAGGCCAATCTGAGGACTCTTTCCACATCAAGTAGGTGGTTAATTGTATTTCTTTGTGTATGTCATATTGTACATGTCTTAAATTGTCATTTATATTATTTATATGCCTAAAAATGTATATTTTATTTATTTGCCATTGCACTATGACCAACATTTTCCATGACATAATAGTAAGAACTGTAACATATGCACCAATGTTATATGTAATATTCAGATTACCATTCATCAGCAAAGTACTAGAAAATGTTGCTGAACAGCAGTTATGCAATCACTTGCACAAATTAGAGCTTTTAGATCTCTGTCAACCAGGCTTCCAGAAGATGCATTCAACTGAAATAGTTCTTTTAAAAGACCAGAATGATCTTTTAAATGCATTTGTCAACTGGGAATGTTCTGTATTGGTGCCGATTGATTTAGCGCTGCTGTTGACACGGTTGATCATCATCTTGCACAACAGACTAAGGTTTACTGAGGGTATCTCAGACATGGCCTTTGGGTGGTTCATATCCTATCTAAAGAACAGGAGTTTTTCTGTTAGAATGAAGAAATTTACTTCATCCAAATTAACATGTGGTGTTCTTCAAGGCTTAGTTCTCAGTCCAGTACTGTTTTTGTTTTATATTTGTCCCCTGGCTTAAATTATTTCTTTGTTTGACTGTATCTTCTTTCATTTTTATGCAGATGACATTCAACTTTACATGTCTTTCAAACCTCAACAAATATACAAGTTTGCTATCTTGGTTGATTGCCTCACTCAGATTAATAACTGGCTTTCCAACAATTACTGTACCTATATTTAAATTTGGACAAGACTGGGGTTTTGATAATTGCCCCTCCTCACGCACAGCATTCAATCATTTCTTTTATTGGTTCTATTTCTATAAAAGCTCAGTCCAGTATTCATAATCTAGGGATCATTTTTTATCAATCCCTCAGTCTTGGTTTGCATGTTAAATCATTGTCCCATTTCTGCATCTACCATGTACCAAATCTCCTCTCAAAAGCTGAATTAGAAATGATTATCCATGCTTTCATTTCCTCACATTTAGATTACTGTAATGCTTTGTTTACAGGCCTAAATGAATCATCCCTTATGCGCCTACAAGCAATATAGAATACAGCAGCCAGGATAGTACAGTAACTCGATGTAGCAAACGTACACACATAACATTTTATCTACATTGCACGGGCTTCCGGTATGTAGCTTACAGGATTCTTTTTAAAGTATGTGTTCTTACTTACATAGATCTAAATGCTCAAGCCCCAAATAACCTGTCTCTGCTCCTCCAAAGACATTCCTTTTTCTTCGTGCTCTTTGTGCTTTGCTTTTGCTTTTTGTATTTCTGATCTATTGTTACGCATTGGGTGGCTGTTTTTACTGATAGCTTGTCTGGCGGATTGATTCTTTTTTGTCACTTGGGACCTGATGTCGTTATCTGATTGCCATGGGACCATAACGTAATAAGGTTGCCCCTGGATTGTTTGCCCCTGGCTGCTTCTGGATGGGTGTTTGTTACTCCATCTTGCACCCAGCGTTTCCATCTGTTGCTGGATTGTTGGGTCTCATCGAGGTATAACTGTTTAGTACAAGTCATGATGTGTGTTATCGCGGTTGTATGAATAATATTTATATTTTTGTAGGAAGTTAATCAATGGCATAATAGTAGAAACCTGAAAACAAAACAGCACTGAACAGCATGTCAAAGTAAGCCCTGTAGAAGCCAGTACAGGGCTGCTGCCGGTTCAGTTTGGCAAACTAAATTTAGTACAACAAGTACATAAAATAATAATGTTAATAAAAATCTGTGGCTCCTCCTGAGTAACAAATTCAAGTATTTTTAAGTCTTAGCTCTTTCATTTGTAGTATACCAATTTCTTGTCCACAAACCAACAAGGAATACTAGTGAACAAGTGAATCTTCCCTGTTGGCTGAACTCTTGTTCTGAATTGTTCAACCTGGTTAATCGCTCTCCTTTTCAGAAATACAAAGCACACTTATATGCACAGTTCAGGGTGAAGCTGGGGCCTGAATTCAGGGTCAGGCTATTTATCCAGCACCCTGGCACATTTATTTGTCTTAATGTAATCATATTTGCCAGATCTGCACCTGTTGTTTCATGCGAAAAGAGATCTGCTGAATACTTTTCAAGTATCGATCTAGTATCTGAGATCTGTCTCAAAATTTAAAACGTTCCAACTAGTCATTCATACAATTTCTCTGCAAAGTTTGAAAAATTCTGTCAAATACTTTTTGAGTACAACCACAGCAGACCAGTTCCAAAACTGTACGTACTCCTCATCTAGGCAATACAATAAGCCATGCCAGTTCATTGTGTAATGTGATATCTTTTACACTGAATGTGAGCATGTGACCTGAAGCAGATGTCCTCCTAACCTGACAAGTCCAGCACTTTGGCCACGCTGGACAGCCTGGTCATATTGCTGCTGAGCCTCTGCCTTCTCTTTCACAACCCCATCGTAGATTTTCCCATCAATGGTCCTGAACCACACACAATTATAAGAGTTAGAAACATAGCCTGTCTACACATGCCACATCCCCACCCAGCAGGAATAAAAGTTCTGTGAAGCAACGGAAAGATTAATTTGAAAAATGGAATAAGGAGTTTTTTTTAAATAGCAAAAGATACTTGTAAATAATAAAATATGAGGATTAAAAGGTCGGATCTGCAATCTGCTTTAGCCTTATCTTAAGATATTTTCAATTCACACGCAAGTGCTATGCCTTCTAAACTTCCATTCCATACATTCAAAAGACTCACATGCTAAACTTGCTGATGAAGGCATTTTTGGGTATTTCCACATGGAAGTTCAGCTCTTGAGACTCATTGGCCAGGTTAGCCACTCTGCTGGTGATGACAGTCATGGCATAGCGGCTTTGGACCATAGACTTAATGTGGAAGCTGTAGATGTCAACGCCATTATCCTGCAATAGAAGAGAAAAAACATGTTAAGTCAGCACTGTTAGGCCGAAAAAATCAATTCCCTGCAACTGGTCCTAGTGTTTTCTGAATACAAACAGGCATATTCCCAACAACGCATTCTCTTATCTGTTGCAGAAAACAAAACAACTTCTACTGATGTTGATATTCTGTTTCTGTTTAAATCAGTACAGAATATTTCAGTTGATTTGCAGAACATCCTAGAAGGTGACACTGAGGACACCTAATGGCTTATCATGGTCACAGCTACCCCTGAATTATCATTTCTTCTGCCCTTGATTCCATGTGAGCATGGGCTATGGCATCTCAGAACCTGAACATAAAAAACCACGCACACATATCCGTTTACAAGCAGAAAACTATGGAATGCAAAAATATGGAATACCAAGAGGGTCATAAATGCCTCAAGTTACGCACTTAATGTCTTAAGCACCTGAATTGACACATCTTTTTATGCATGTCACTCTTGACATGCTAAAAGCATATGGAAAGTGAAACAGGTCAAAAACACGTGAATTTTAATGCGTAGAATACGTGCAGAATACGTCAACAACATGTTACCTACTTGTTGTTAATTTGTATTCAACGCTATGGAATGTTTTCAATGGTTAAGCTATATACAATACCTGTTAAAAGAACTAAACCCTTGTAGTGCATTTATGTATATATTTGTCTTTTGTTTTCTTGTAAATAAAACACTTGCTTAATGCTTGTGCAAATGGGACTTACAGAAAACACCGTTACGTACCTTTGATTTTTAGTGACTCAGCATATATAGGCTATATGTAAAAGTTAAGCCACAAATAACCGTCACAGTGCAGACATTTATAGAATACATCTTCCCCAAACACTAGAACAGTTTCTAAACAAATTTAACGTTTTATCTTTTTTATAAGCCGGAAGCTAAAACTTAATTCCTTAGTTCGTAAGGGAGAAAAACTCACTTGTGAAATTAACATAGAAATGTTAAACTTTCAAAAAAATCTGAACCTTTTTCCAATTGAAATAATGTACAAATAATAATGTTGTATAATGTTTCATAAAGGCTGCCAGACAAAATATGCCTTCTGATTTATTTACTTGTATAGAGGGCACCCACATCTCAAAAGTGTCCAGTGATCAAAATCCACTGTCATTATTTATCCATAAAACAAGCTAAATGTCACTTGTCTGCCCCAACCTTTCGTGTCTCTTCCCCTTTTGGTCAGCAGGTATCGCTGGCCATCCTGTTCTCCCTGAGCCAAAGTCCTTAGTGTGTTTCCCCAGCTTTCAGGATTGCTGTATGGTGCTAAGGGCTGAGTGTGTGACTATAGTAACCTGTCAGTCCTGTGTTCAAGACTAGCTGTTTCTTTTTTTTGTATTTAGTATAGATTTTGTTCCCTAGTGTTTACTTTGTATTAGTTTTTCTAATTCCTGAGTTTTGTGGTTTGCATTCTGTTTTGGTTTTTCGCTTCATGCCATTGGTTCTGTTTTACCTGTCTTTATTATTTCCCTAGTGTTGGATTCTGTTTCCTAGATTCTGAGTTCCTTGATTTAATTATTAGTTTCACCAGTTGCCTATTTTCTTGTGTCGGTCCTTGTTGATTGTTCTCATCTGTCCTGCGTTATCTTGTTAGTAGTGCTGTAGTTCTCGAGACCGGTCTTGGTCTCGAGACCGGTCTTGAGACCAATTTTTTGTGGTGTCAGTCTTGTCTTAGTCTCGGACATAGCAGTCTCGATGGGATGGGGAAAAAAAGAGAAAACAGCACATCCTCACAGAACAGTATCATTATTCATTACGCGCCTCAATTCAAATGCAACCAGTCAGATGCATCTACTTTAAAAACGTTACATTGTATACATTTTCTCAATAGACACAGTGCTTCACAGTCCACACACTTCATACACATCGCATGATAGCGAAGTCGGCAAAGAAATATTCCAAAACGTTACCACGCGTCACTATGTCACATGGTACAAAATCCTTGCGAAAGCAAGACGACTTGAGACAGACCGTGCAGCACAAACTGGAACCGCCTCCGTGACGCCACAACTTTGCCCTTATTAGCTGAAGATTTTAGTCACACGCATGACATTTGTATCCCAGGAAGTTCCAATG